TAGTAAGATACAAATTTAAATATTTAATGAGGTAATGTTAAGTGGAAGAAGTAGGTTACAAATGTACATGTCCATTAGGATTATAACTTTGAAATAAAAGGCTGGATGAAAATATCCTACAACGGTATCATATCGGTCCTTGAACTAGGATGAAAAAAGGAGTTAAAACATTTTTTTCCTTGTATTAACAAAATTTCTAAACTAACTGTTATTCTTAAAAAGGAATCCATATTTGAAAATTGAAAATGAATACTGCACACTAGAATCACAGTTATTTTTTAAGTCAGTGACAATGTGTGTAGCACAGCTTAAGCTGTCATATACCCTATATACTAAGCAAATTAAATGTAGAATTCAGCTAAATATATTTTTTCATAAAAAGTGTATTTAACTGAAGTTCTATTTCTCTTTCGTAACTATTCCTCAAGTGGCCACAGAGCAATATTTAATAAACATAAAAAACAAATAAAAGCTCTATTTTCTTTTATTCCATTTGTTAAACATTTTGAATTCTTTTATATGGATATAGAAGGTGATGGAGATAATTTTTCTAGGCAATATTTCAAGTAGTATATATAAGCTTGTGCAAATTATTTAGTGCTAGAAAAGAAAGTTATGCTTTGATTTTTTTCCCATTTAATTTAAATAATTTTGAATGCCAGCCTTGACAAATATTTCCGTATTGTTTAAATTTGTTTCATCCAGTTCAATAAAAATATTGACAGAGCAAAGCTGAGAAGATAATCTAACACTAAGGCTCCCCCTGTTGTCACATCCTAATTGGTCAGTATTCTTTAGGTACACTCTACCAGCTTCTTTGTATCTAACTGTACCACTGCTAAGCTTGTCTTTCCCCATTTGATCCATAAGAAAAATCATAAATACATTATCTACTGTAGTGTATGTTACCTTATTTATTGGTGAGAGCAAATGAGATAACATATGGGTAGAATGTACTTTGATGATCATGTGTATTCAGGAGCCCCATCAATGAGAGATTATAGTAATTACTGCTTTCTTTTTGAAGTGTTCATAATCCACCTCTGTAACAACATATTTTAGAACCTTAACCAGAATCAAATGCCTCACCAGGCATTAGCTTATAGAATTATTTGTTTCTTACTTCAAAACCAGGAACTATGCTGTTTGACTCCTTGGGGAACCTTTCTCATTCTCTTCAATTTCTTATACATCACTGAAAAGAAATACAGTGATATCTCACTGGAAAACTGTCTTAGTAATCTGGAATATTATCGAGTTCACTGATTCTCAACTAGGGGTAGTTTTGTTATCCAGGGAGTATTTTACAGTCTGGAGATATTTTTGGTATCAAGATTGGGGAGTGCTACTGGCATCTAGTAGGTAGGGGCCAGGGAAGCTAAGCATACTACAATGCACAGGACAGCCTCCCACAGCAAAGAATTATCTGTTCCAAATGTCAAGTGCCGAAGTTGAAAACTCCTGATGTGTATGTAGTCCAGTCTCCTACTAATAATGCAAAGAACCCATTTTTTAGCATTAATAGTGGGAGGGCTTCCATAATAAAAATTATTAGTATAAAAACTTCCTGTTGCTATATGTTCAAATCCTATTCTTTCCTTTAGATCCCAGCTCAAATGCAACCTCTAACATAAACTCTTTCACTGTAGAAAGTAACTTCTCTCTCCCACCTCCCTTTTGGAGTTTCATAGCACTTTACCTGGGGTGCTCATGTGGAGGCAATGTGGTCACTGAGATGAGCTTGGACTTTAAAGTAAGACTAACCAAGGTTAAAATAAATCCTATTCCTAGTTGAAATGCAAAGTATAATATTACTGTGAACAAGTTTTCGAAATTCAGTTTCTTCATTTGTAAAATGAAGCTATCACTCGTTTTTTTAGGACTGCTGGGACTAAGCAGGATGATAAAAGTATAAGACATACCGGAGTGCCTATAGTATATATCAGGAAATAAATAAGTGTTGTCTTCCCCACTTTTCACTTCCTATTTTATTTTACTTTTTTAAGATTTTTACTGGGAATTGCAGGAGGGGAACAGCGTTAGGGAATCGGGGAAGGGAAACAGGCAAGTTGCTGTCCTTTTGTTCTTCAGTCTAGTTGTGGAGGACGTCGCTTCACTGGCCCAAGTTGGTATTATCATTGCTCTCTTCCTGGTTGAGGCAGATCGGTCGCCGGCCATTGGACGGCTGCTCACAAAAGCTCCCACCCACTGCTGGCTTGTCCCAAGACAGCCTATGCCATTGTCAGTGACTCATAGCAACTCACAGCAGCCCATCTCCAGGTCAAGCTGTTGTTCACCATCTTAGCTGTAGAGGGCGCAGCGTCACTGGCCCTAATGTGGGATCTGAACTGGGGCCCTGCTGCTCAGAGGTGGTGTCCCAAGTCAACTCTTAACCAACACACCACTTGGCTGGCCCCTCACTTCCTATTTTAAATGACAGTTTACGTACATCTTATTTCCTCTAAGATTACATGCTTCTTAAAAGCAAATCATGCTGGTATCCCTCTTTTCTTACTTCTTATAGCTTCTCTCCTTCACGGTAGTAATTTCAAGTGCTAAAACTTAATGGTATTCAGAATATGAATATGACATGCCTCCTTGCTTTTCAACCACCTTGGTTTCTCTACTGTGGGTGCTCTCCAGTCTGCTTCCTTAAAGCTCAACATAAAATCTGTTTACTTATTTAACTGCATTAAGTATACAACATTTTCATCAACAAAAAGAATGATAAAAAACAGAGTACTACAATAAAAGTAACAATCAACAGATTCTCACCAGGGATTCTAAAAAGTTCCACTTTATGTCTTACGTTCAATAGAACGCAATTCTAAATCACAGTAAGATGAAAATCTATCCTACTGAACTCTGAATCCTTAAAGAGATCACTGCTCTTAACTTCGGCAGATTACAATTAGTTAACATAATGAATGTTAGCCTAATTTTAAAATCATTGTTAAAGCAAGGCCATAATACCACTAGGTTTTTGCCATAAGAACAAAGGTAATGAGGTTTTTTGTTTATTTGTTTTTCCTTTTAGAAGGAATGAATTTGCACTAATGCATTTAGCCTATTCATCTCTGTATAAACCTGAAGGAATGCTGGCTGGGCTGTGAGAACACAAATCAGACCAATGAACAGAGAGAAACTAATAAGAATAAAAGCAGTAGCCTGGGTCTTATTACATGTACGTGTGTCCTTTAATAATGATTACCAATCCTGCTAGAGTATTCAGGAATACCAAGGTGTATTCTTTTATCTTATTATTATAAAAAGGAAAAAAATGGTCAATCCTGGATTCTGTAAATCAGAGCTAAATGTTTTTCCCCAAATAGTTTTCTGATAATTACTTGTGCATCATCTGAAAACAAAGATTTATAATAAAATTATACTGATTTATAAAGAAATTCATAACTGGAAATTATTACCTGTTTCCCTTTACTAACTTCATTCTCACAAGTGGAATGTTCTTCAAGAATCATTCTGCAGTGCATTATTAAACTTGTTGTCTGTGAAGTCGACAAGGGATCCCATATGAATTCTACAAAGTCTGAAACAAAAATTTCAGTGGTGCATAATTTATTTACTAGACTGCTTTGTTACATATAAACAACCAAGGTTTTTAGCAAAGACTACTTCCTTATATGGTTTAAAATCCATGCCAATTATTACCATTACATATGAGGTGTGATCAAACTATACGATGAATGTTTTAAATTAAA